TACGGGTAGCCGGGTATCGAGTAGGGTACGGGTATCGGGTACTCGGTTGCGACCTCTGCCTCACGCCGTCCACACGAACTCGAATCCGCACTTTGTTGTTGGGGGCCTTTTTGGCAGTGTCAAGAATGATCGGGGAGGGGGGTAAGAATAAGTCTGTCCCCTTTCTGGCAATGAAAACAGGCGTTGTGTGAAGATGTTCAAACACCACAATAGATTCCTTTTGCAAGGCATGACATCTGCATTAACCACACGAACTTGTGTCAAAATATGCAATATTATCAGAGCATGTTTGCATTTTTTGCCACAAGCACGAGTGGTTAATGCAAACGTGATGCCTTGCAAAAGGTACCTATTGTGGTGTTTGAACATATTAACACCTCCTGTTTTATTGCTAGAAATTGTAACAAACAAAAACACCTATTTATTATTTTTTCATCGAATCCGAACGTCTCCCACGACGACCACGACATTCGCACACGTGGACACTCTAAGCCCGATTGCAGAAACACCGACCACACCATCGACCACACAGTAGCGAACCAATGTGAGTACTCCATGTGAGTCTGTGGGTCTCTATGTGAGTCTTCGGATCTCCATGTGAGTCTGTGGGTCTCTGTGAAACCTCACTATTAGTGAACCACTGTGAATTATGTGAGTCTGTGGGTCTCGATGTGAGTCTGTGGGTCTCCATGTGAGTCTTTGGGTCTCTATGTGAGTCTTTGGATCTCTATGCGAGTCTGTGGGTCTCTAGTGAAACCTCACTATTAGTGAGCGATTGTGAACTCTGTGAGTCTGTGGGTCTCGATGTGAGTCTATGGGTCTCCATGTGAGTCTGCGGGTCTCCATGTGAGTCTGTAGGTCTCTGTGAAACTTCACTATTAGTGAACCACTGTGAACTCTGTGAGTCTGTGGGTCTCCATGTGAGTCTGCAGGTCTCCATGTGAGTCTGTGGGTCTCTCTGTGAGTGCTCACATGTTGTGAACCACTGTAAACCATGACAATTAACTGTAGGCGATGAATTAATCCACGATGACCACGACATTAACTGAAGCAATGTCCTGCGTAAACTAATCAGGACATTGACTTATGAGTTGAACTTCATACAGCTAATAAGTGCATTCGTATGTATGTTGAACTTAATTCGCACCGTACGTAGCCAACCACGCGAATCGGAGGTACAGGGGAAGGATAACAAACTAATAAAATTAGTTTTCAATCTGGATTATTTAAAAGTGCATGGCTCCAGCAGTTTCCTAATATCGGGTCTGAGAGACAATCCTGGCAGTGAAGTCGATAATTCTAGATTTGAAGCTTTCGTGACTGCAAGGATTCATACTCTTAGTTCTTTCGGTAAAGTCACGTAGGCACTTCTCACAGCCGACCTACATCGGGGGCTCCTAGCATGTTGCTTGTCGTGTGCCCCATGCCAGACGCATCACATTTTCGCGTACATCGGGGCGATAAACAGGGACTCCTCTACTTACGAACGACTTAGGTTCAGGAGGTGTCTGTTCGTAAGTCGATTTGTTCGTAAGTCCAACTTAACTCCCGTCGGTTCCAAACGCGTTGTACGGCATGTACACGGAACATGGGGAATGGCTTTAATAGTTGTATCATCTCCTGCAGATGTAGATGCCACTGGTTCTTCACGTTCTGCAGATGTAGATGCCACTGATTCTTCACGTTCTGCAGATATAGATGCCACTGGTTCTTCACGTTCTGCAGATGTAGATGCCACTGGTTCTTCACGTTCTGCAGATGTAGATGCCACTGGTTCTTCACGTTCTGCAGATGTAGATGCCACTGGTTCTTCACGTTCTGCAGATGTAGATGCTACTGATTCTTCACGTTCTGCAGATATAGATGCCACTGGTTCTTCACGTTCTGCAGATGTAGATGCCACTGGTTCTTCACGTTCTGCAGATGTAGATGCCACTGGTTCTTCACGTTCTGCAGATATAGATGCCACTGGTTCTTCACGTTCTGCAGATGTAGATGCCACTGGTTCTTCACGTTCTGCAGATATAGATGCCACTGGTTCTTCACGTTCTGCAGATATAGATGCCACTGGTTCTTCACGTTCTGCAGATGTAGATGCCACTGGTTCTTCACGTTCTGCAGATATAGATGCCACTGGTTCTTCACGTTCTGCAGATGTAGATGCCACTGGTTCTTCACGTTCTGCAGATGTAGATGCCACCACCATAATCTATTGCGCAGGTGGTTGAACTTCCGGCTCTCGGTCCGGACAGACAACAGGACATACGGACAGGTTTGTTCTAATCTCTAAAAATATTCTCAAGCCCCTCTATATGGGTGTTTATATTTTACATATCGCAACTTTCATTTCAATTAATTAATACCTAAGACATTTACTTGACAAAGATTAACTTAACCACATTTACCTAAATATTTCCCACTTAATGTTTATACTTCCATCAGCTGTGTTCTATCCACTGCTGGGCTAAGGGGCCTTCCCCAAGCCACTTGCCGCCAGCACGCAATTGCCAACTTTGGCATAAAAAAAACATAAAACTTCAAATTTCGATTTAAAGCTTTCGTGACTGCAGGGATTCATCTTCTTGGTTCTTTCGGTAAAGTCACGTAAAAGGGAAGTAATAAAATACGCTCCAAGCTTGGTGGTGTTTCATTCTTCACCTGAGGACGGCTGCTTGCGTTGTGGCCGAAACGTCGTGAGAATTATTTTATTATGTTTTATTTTTATTATTTTATTACCTCCCTTCTACGTGACTTTACCGAAAGAACCAATAAGATAAAACTTCAACTCACAAGCAGGGTCACGGGTGATGGGGGTTGGCAAATGGGGCAATCAGTCCTTACACGAAAGAGGGGACCCCCACAATTGGGGGGCTTGTTATTTTGTCCCTCCTGAATATGGGGGGGGGGGGGCGCACGTGCCCTCCTGGGCCTCTGTGATCTCCTTGGGCAGCCCCTGCACAAGGATAAAGATTCCATCTCCGCCGTATAGCCTTCACAGACTGTTGGGGCAAGTGCTGTTAGCGAGTAGCACCTACGAATGCCAGAAAGGCACACGAGAGGGCGCGGGTGGGCCAGCACATCGCGCCCAGCCGCCTTTGTCTCCCCAGTGGCGATATTTACACATCGCACGAAGGAACTCAGTTGAGGCTGAGTCAACCTAGGGGAGGAGGCGCAGGACCGGTTCAAAATAATCGTCACCGGTGTTGGCCGCGTGCGGAACACGAACTCGCATCGCCGGGTTCGCAGCGCAAAGCGATCTCACAGCTGCCGCTGTCCATGCGGCCCTGTTGGACAAAAGACAAAGATCTCCTGTATAGCCTGAACAGACTGTAGGGGCAAGTGCTGTTAGCGAGCACCTATGAAGGCCAGCACGGCACACGAGGGGGTGGGTGGCCAACACCACGCCCGGCCGCCTTTGTCTCCCCAGTGGCGATGTTTACACATCGCACGAGGTACTCATTTGCGGCTGAGTCGACCTAGAGGAGGCCCAGGACCGGTTCAGATGATCGTCACTGGGTGTTGGCCGTGAGCGGGAATCGAACCCGGGTCGGCCACGAAAGCCACGCACCCAGTGCCGGATTATCCCAGTAGCACAAGTAGCTACATATGTAGTAGCTACACGTACTGGAAGTTAAGCAGCGTTCAGCCTGGATAGTTCTTGGATGGGTCGCCACCACCACCACCACGCACAACTGGTTGTTATGGGTTGCTGGCCAGGCGACGTGGCGAGCAGCGTGTATCAGCTACACATGTAGTAGTAGCTACACATGTAGCAGTAGCTACACGTGTAGTAACTATACTGTAGCACCTACATATGTAGCAGCTACACATGTAGTAGTAGCTACACATGTAGCAGCTACACATGTAGTAGTAGCTACACATGTAGCAGCTACACATGTAGTAGCTACTACACATGTAGCAGCTACACATGTAGTAGTAGCTACACATGTAGCAGCTACACATGTAGTAGCTACTACACATGTATCAGCTACACATGTAGTAGTAGCTACACATGTAGCAGTAGCTACACGTGTAGTAACTATACTGTAGCACCTACATATGTAGCAGCTACACATGTAGTAGTAGCTACACATGTAGCAGCTACACATGTAGTAGTAGCTACACATGTAGTAGTAGCTACACATGTAGCAGCTACACATGTAGTAGTAGCTACACATGTAGTAGCTACTGGCCCCGCACTTTCAAGGGCCCCGCGCTAAATGCTTTCAAGCTCTCAATTCCGGTTCAGTGATTCTGCACTTTCTCTATTACTATAGTACTTGACTTAAAGCTTTCGTGACTGCAGGAATACATAGCAGGAGAGCGCTCTCGCTATATTTTTTCACCTGATGACGATTGATTGCGTTGCGATCGAAACGTCGTGATATTTTTTAAATATCTTTTATATCTACGTGGCTTTACCGAAAGAATATACTATAGTACTATACCGCCTTCAACTTTTACGAACGACTGGGTGTTTAAGGTTAGCGCTTTGTCGTATTATCTGACTGTAAAGTAGATTAAACAATTCAAATACGTTTCTGTGAAAGTAAAACAAATTTTGTGTTTTCATATATTTTTTTATTTTAGGTCCCCTTTAAAACATACGCGACGGGCCCCGCCACTCGCTTAATCCGGCACTGCGCGCACAACATCGTCCCATTTGGACGGAGCCGGCATCTCGCCGCTGACTGACAGCAGCAGCAGCAGACTTTTTGGCGCGCGCAGAGCGCCTCCTCTCTTTTCAACGCGCGATGGGTCGGTCCATTCGGTACCGAGGACCGGGGAAAACGGGGGGGAGGGAGGTAGCGTCCGTCAAACAACATTTTTTTTTTCAACAAATGGCTTCGCTGAAAAGGGCCGAGCTTGAATGACACCGTCCGTCCAACTGCTTCACGCCCCCCCACCCATCCATCCACCCACCCATCTACCCCCCCACCCATCCACCCACCCATCCACCCCCCCACCCATCCACCCACCCATCCATCTACCCACCCATCCACCCACCCACCACCACCATCCTCTCTGCGCGGTCTCCGAATTATAGTAGGAGCGAATATTCAGTCGTTGGGTTTTTTTTTTGCCGCAGCACTTTGTGGGTTTCCTTTGGTCACCCGTCCTGCGGCTCCGGTTCTTTTGACACCGCTGGTAAAATACCGCAGCCGCCGCGTAGAAATCGCTCAGTTTGTTGTTGTTGTTGGGGAGTGGCCAGGAGTCAAATAACTTTTTTTGACCTCTCGTGAGATCTCTGCGTGGCGCTGACCAACCTGGGAACCTTCTTGTGAGTGTGACCTTCAAGGTAAGGTCATTCTGCCGTCGGCTTGTTCATTCTTATGGGTTATTAGGAGGGTCATAAATTGTTACGGATAGATGAAGCGGTGTGCATGCTTGGTTATTTTTGTGAAGGTTGGAAGTTGATCGTTGCATCGTCAATTTACTGTACGGTGTTTAATTCCTAAATGAGAGTGATAATATTGCCCATCGTATGAATATTGTACTGGTGTCATGTTATTATTGGGAGTTGTAAGCAAAACTTGTATAATCGTTTGAAAGCCCCCTGAGATTAACAGTTACTTTGCAAGGTAACCCTCTAAAGTGAATATGTAATATTCTGATGATGCTTACCGTAACATATGTGTATGATTATCTTCTACGCATTGATTGTGAGTGACTGACTGACCCATGTAATGTGTCATATTGGTTATATAATGATTTAGACGGCTGAAATTGTGTAACTATTTTAGTCAAGCCAATCCACCTAACAGGCAAATCCGAATCCCAACATTACGGTCGGGGAGGTTGACAGGCTTCACTCATAGGGCAGCATCAGCCTACAATGTCCACGTTCTTGGTTCTTTCGGTAAAGTCACGTAGAAGGAAAAAAAAACATAATAAAATAATTATTTTATGAATAAAATAATTATTTTATTATGCTTTATTATTTTTATTACTTTATTATTCCCTTCTACGTGACTTTACCGAAAGAACCAAGAAGATGAATCCCCGCAGTCACGAAAGCTTTGAATCGAAAAAAAAAATGTCCACGTTGCTCTAAGTCTCGTGTGAAACGTAAACAAACACGCGATCTTCCACCCGTCAACCGAGCAGTTTGCCTCGCGACGCCAAAAGTCGATGGGAAGTGTCCGACGGCTCACGCAGAAGAGCCTCGGCTGTGAAGGGCCGTCGAAGAGACGCGAACTCTAAACACCCCCGCCGTGCGTTGCGGCCTGCTGGTTGACTGCAACGCAACGGATAGCCACGGGGAAATTGTCACGAGCCTCCTTGTGGAGGATGTGCCCCAACATGTGTCCCTCTGCGTGAGAGTATGCTGCTGAACATTTGTTTATTAGCCGCTGACATCCGCCGATGTTTGCTGAGATGGTGCACTTCCAGAATTGCCGTGTGCTTGAAGCGGAGGGGACCGATGTATGAAGGGGATGATATTTCGATTTAAAGCTTTTTCGTGACTGCAGGGATTCATCTTCTTGGTTCTTTCGGTAAAGTCACGTAGAAGGAAAATAATAAAATAATATTATTATTTTCCTTCTACGTGACTTTACCGAAAGAACCAAGAAGGAGATGATATTGTCTGCCTATTTGTTCTGTTGTTGTGAAAGTACAGTTTTGTTATCATTGTTATTATTGGGGCATTATGAATGACCGTGCTTGTGAGTTGCACGTGGCCCATGTGGATGCGTCACGCGCTCTCGTGATGTCCGATTTCCACTCGCGCACCGGTTGCCCCAAGATTCCCCTTGTCATCATAATCGTCGCTGTTAACGTTGGAATTGCACTGTTAAGTTCCATTTTAACAAGTAATTTGTAATACTTTTTTACGTTCATACACCTGCCTCTTGTATGTTTCAAGAAGCTTAATCTTATACCCATTGAATTTTTGACATTTTCACGTGCATTCCGAGTTTCAATAGTGGTCTAATTTTAGAATCGTTAGGCTTATGCTTGTTTCGACTTAAGTCTCATCTTTAAAAGACGTGTAATCCCAATGGGCTCTCATCTGATTACAAATGAAGGATTATTAACACTTTACAACTCGGGCAAACATCACGAATGAGCTCTGTCTAATTCTAGATTTGAAGCTTTCGTGACTGCAACGATTCATACTCTTTGTTTTTTTCGGTAAAGTCACGTAGGTAAAAAATAAAATGTTTAATTTAGTATGAGCTCTATCTGTTTGCCTCTTTTGTAACGCGGCGGCACGATAACGCCCGCGAGGATGATCCAACACGAGCAACACTTGAGTGCAAAGTTGCGTTCCTGTAAGACACTTTGCCCGGTTTGAAACCGCCCACATTGATCGCAGCGTTGCCCACAACTTGGGAGATGAAAAAAAACAGCGCTAAAAGTTTAAACCTGCCGGCCAGAGGTGCAACCGGGTACCCGATACCCGTACCCTACCCGATACCCGGCTACCCGTACCCGGCCCGGCCGGGTACGGGTACCCGTTTGCGACCCTGGTGCAGGCCGGGTACGGGTACGGGTAGACCGTGAGTCACTGGTGAGTCACCGTTTGTCACTCATTTCCCAACGTCTTGTCTCTTCTCACAATTCAAGTTCCTAGAACCAACCCACCCACGCCTGCAACATGGCTTCATCCCAGAGGTCGCAATCAGGTACCCGATACCCGTACCCTACCCAATACCCGGCCGGGTACGGATAGGGTACGGGTAGGGTACGGGTACCCGTTTGCGACCCTGGCGCGGCTGGGTACGGGTAAGGAATCAAAACCCGTTTGCGACCTCTGCTGCCAGCCCACGCGAAACACCTTCTCCTCCTCCTCCCAAGCTCGACGCCATCTCGTTGTGAGGCTTGAGACGCATCCTCATAACTGCTCGCCGAGTTAATTCCGAGGACAAACGTGCGTTTGGGACGTCCGGCGACTGATGCGACGTTTCGCCCCCCCACCCCCTCCCACGTGTCCAGGTTTGGAGAGAACTTTTGAGACATGTCCACGACCAACAACGCAGCTGCGGCTGCCACCCCGCAGAGCCTGAAGCACACCAATGCCCACGACGCGGTGAGTTCCGCTTGATGGCGACGCGCGTTCGTTCGACGACAATGATCTCACAGTCGTTCACGCCTTGCTCTCGAAGAGAGAGAGAAAGAGAACGGACTTCGTGGCGAGAGGAGGAACCACGGACGAGCGGGGAAGGCATCATCAGGCGGTCGGTGAGCCGGCGCCAATAATTGCCCAAGCTCTGAGGTCCCCTACATGTTAAGGTGTCAACGGCCAATTCACGAGTGTTTCCACGTGGGTGGAAACCGGAGCACCCGTGAGAAAACCCACGCGTACGAGGGGGAAACACTGGATCCCCTTACCGATGGAACGGGTGGAATCCACACGTTTGCCGTACCGCCTTCTCCTGGCGAGCCAGGGTGTGACGCCTCATCGACCCCCACGGGGAGCTTCACAACATCTGTGTGTGACCCACCAACTCTCGATGCTGTCTGGACTACAGGCCACGTGCATAGCCACAACAGCACGGCCCATTTTTTGTTGTTGCCGCGTGTGTTTCCTGTTTTGTGCTGAGAGGTCATTTGGAGGTTAATTCATGAAATACATCATCGGTGGCCGGGTGGCTCAGTGGTCAGAGCGGCGAGCTGCCACCACTAAAGTCCTGGGTTTGATTCCAAGTTTGCAAGCCGGGCGGTGTTGGCCAGGGCATCCCCTGTAGCAGTGACGCGGCATGGTTGGTATGTGCCCTGGTGCAAGGAATAAAATTAGCCCCCCCCCCCTCCCACCATTTCCCTGTCCAATATCCCAATTCTGCGGAGACCAGCGCCTCGGCCAGGCAAACTCTTGGTCCCTGGTCCAGTTGTAGCACCTGCACGTTCGTTAGTTTCGGAACTTCCCCGTAGCAATGTATACATGGCTATAGATGTGATCGGATTGATGGTCCGGCACTCACTGAGTCACTCCAGGAACTCACTCATCAAGGACTCGATGGCTTCTTTATCACGCTCTTATCTCAGATACTACAGTTGCTGTTTCCACAAACTTCACTCCCTGATTCCTCCACCCGCGTTGAGCACTCGGTCTGCCAGACCGACCGTTTCGTCCCACCCATGTTGTGTTCACCCACCACACTGCAGGTCACAACAACACAAAGACAAAGATCCCCCGCATAGCCTTAACAGACTGTTGGGGCAAGTGCTGTTTAGCGAGTAGCACTTATGAAGGCCGGCACGGTACACGAGAGGGTGGGTGGCCAGCATCACGCCCGACCGCCTTTGTCTCCAAAGTGGTGCTGTTTGCACACCGCACCAGGTACTCATTTGAGGCTCAGTCTACCTAGGGGAGGCCCAGGAGCAGTTCAAATAATTGTCACTGATGTTGACCGTGAGCGGGAATTGAACTTGGGTTGCCGGGTTTGTAGCGCAAGTGCGATAACCGGCACGCTACCGCTCCCCCCACTCAGGGGCCGCACTAAAGGCCACCAGGCCATCAGTGGCATTGTAGAACACTAGTCCAGACGGTATGTTAACGTACTCTTCTACGCTGATCGGCCGTCTTGGAAGGGGTCAAATTACCCACACTTTCAGAATCAGAATATATATACTGGAAGAATCCGATAAGCTATACATTTCTTTTTTTTTACACATGCCCAGTCGAACGTTACAACCACAAACAATACAACAACATGATAGGAGTGCAAAGTGCAAGAAAGGTAAACGAATCACCTAAACACGTACAAATACAACTTAACCATACCCCGACACACGTTGACCTGCATATCAACGAACTGCGGTGCGCCAATTTCTACAGCTGGGTGGACAGAAGCGGACAGCTTCAAGAATCTTGCCCCATCGTGTCAACCTACCGCGCCGGGGCATTGAATCGAACCGGCCAGCCTCTTGCACTGCAAGCTGCAGCGGTGCCGCTGTAACCGTTACACTACCGTGGCAGCGTCCCGCTCTGCACAGACGCAGCTTTAATGGAACGGCCGTTCTCGAGTTAAGCCCGTTGTTCGCAATGGCCACTGAGTTGGCATGATCAGGACAATGTGAAACCGTACTCCATCGCCGCATTGACAACAGATGTTCTGTAATGAATGCTCCGCTCTGTTTTAAAAATAATTTGCCCGCCCGATGTACAGTGCTGCCTCGTGTTCAGCAGGGGCAGCCGTTCGGCCCATCGCAGCCACGGTGCCATTATTTTATTTTCATCCTTCCCTTTGAAAACGTGGAAACGAGTCTTGTGTTGCCAAGTTGGTGTCGGATACCGTCTCAAAGCGAGCCGGCAGCCCGTGTCCAGTTCCAGGTTTGTGTTGTTTGACTCAGGTGAGAAGAACTCGATAGACCAGGAAAGGAGTCTCATTTGCAAGAGTGACCCTGGGGCCATTTAGTATGCCAATAGGTGGCAATGCCAATGGACTAATTTCGTGGGCAATTTTCGAATTTGGCAATACATTTTTGTGTTAGGGTAATTACGTTCTTTGGAGGTCAGCCCTGGTAAAGTAAGATTCTTTTTTTGCCAGCAAACCGGTGCTCGTGGAAGACGGAAAATATTGAAAGGGATGGGACACTTGCCCAAAGTGGCCCAAATTTGTTCATCTTAAATGAGGCTTAGTAGTCTATGCCAAAACACAAGGCCACCACTGCTGAGATTTTGGATTTAAATCACATGCGTCCATCAACTATGATCAATCCACTGATGTTTGACAGTCTCCACAAGCCATCTCCATCTCTCATGGCCATATGAAGTAATAATCCATCAAGTATCTCACAGACCAGTTTAATTTAATCTCATCTTCATGTTATCACCAGAAATTTAAAAAGGTTGTCAAATCCGGTGAGAGACTGGTCTCAACCCAGCCAGAATGTTGTGAGCATTCGGCAAATAAGCACAGATATAATCATTCTATCTGCAGAGCGGAATGAAATGTCATTTATGGCGTGGTTAAGTTAGATTCTTGCGGGATATCAATCGGAAGCCTGTGGCAGAGGAGGCCAGCGTCTTGACCCCACGAGCTACGAACCCAAATCTTCACGTGACCACAAGCCACGCGAGGAGTGTTCACATGGCTGTGTGTCTGTGTTGTCTCTCTCTGCTTGTGTGTATGTCTGTGTGTCTCCGTGTCAGTGTTTTGTCTCTCTCTAAAATTGAGTTCTACCTGATGACGGTTGCTTGTGTTGCAATCGAAACGTCGTACTATATTATCCAAGTTTACCTTTTTTCTCTCTCTCTGGGTTTTTATTCTCTCTCTCTGCCTGTTTATTTAGTGTAAAATTTTCTGTCTACACTCGTTTTTTGTCGTTCTTAGGTTCTGCTTTGTCTCCGTTCCTCTTGTTTTTATGTTTTGTCTTTCTTTGAAATTTTCACACTTAAATTCTAACTTAGCAATCTTTGAAATACGTAATCGACCAGGCTATGTGTTAATTGTGTGTTGACCGACTCTCTGTGTCGTTTTACATAACATTTCGATACTTTGCTAGGTTATTTAATTTTAGTGTGTTTCTTTCTCCCCCTAAGCCTGCTCACTCCTTTTTGTTGTACTCATTGACATGTAAATTTTGTCTCTAACCCCCTCCCTCTCGCTGCCTCCGCCCCCCTCTGTCTATTTAAGGCCACCCCACAGAGACGATCACCCCTCTCTGTACCTGTGTTGCCCGCTGTGTGTATCTTGGTGATATCTGTCTGCTTATATGTCTGTCTATAATTTTTTCTGGTTAGATTTTATGTCGCTATTTCATTATACCTGATGATGATTGCTTGTGTTGCAATCGAAACGTCGTATGTTATTATTTAATTTATTATTTTTTCTTTATACGTGACTTTACCGAAAGAACCAAATAATATATTATCTAATTTATTTTCTTTCTACGTGATTTTACCGAAAGAACCAAAGAGTAATTCCTGCAGTCACGAAAGCTTCAAATATCGTTTGGCTGTGAGGTTTTGAATTTTATAAATAAATCTGTAGGGGAACTTCTGGGTTATCCAGGCCTCGTTACGCTGCCAGGGGCGAGTGTCCCGGGGGTCGCAGATTGATCCTCTTACAATTAAAGTTTTACGGACAAGTTACAAATCTACTGCGTTCTATGGACAAGTTATGGACAAGTTCTATGGACACGTGACAAATCTGCTGAGTCTCTTTCGACCCTCGCTTGAACTCCGCGGCAGCCACATGCGGATCACGAGCCACGGTTTGGTGGTGTTGCTTCAAGGTCGTGGCACCGTGTAAATGTGTGCGGCGACCACTTGAGATCATCCGAATTGATCCCAAAATTTGAAAGTTTACGGACACACCGGTGAAATGCATAGCAATCGTCGCCAGCAAATCGTCACCGATTGACGCAAACATTTATATTGTTAACAAAAAGAAACAATTGAATGAAATTTAGACCAATGTTATCGATGCTCTCCCTGCCCCCCCCCCCCCCGGCGGGAAAATGGGATGGCAAACTACCAATTATATCGCACGCAGAAGTGGCATGACCACCCCAGGTTGAGTGCTTTTGTGGTCCAATGATTGTTCATCAAACGTGCTTTTCAACAGACTCTGTTTCACTGCCTGGACGCCGCTCAATCACTGTTCTGCCGATGCCGTGCCGAGTTGCCACTGATGCTCAAAGTCAATGCGTTGCCAGCAACAATTGCTGCAGCATAGCCCTCGAGCACAACCAGTGCCCGATTAGCCTCGTAGCAAAAGTAGCTGCATATGTAGCTACGGGCCCCGCACTTTCAAGGGCCCCACGCTTAATGCGTTCAAGCTATCAATTCCGGTTCAGTGATTCTGCACTTGCTCTATTACTATAGCGCTATACTGCCTTCAACTTTTACGAACGACTGGGTGTTTCATGTTAACGATTTGTCCTATTATCTGGCTGTATATAAAATGAAAAAATACAATTACTTTACTATGCAAGTAAAAAAATTATGTTTTAATATTTACGTGTTTTTTAAAAATTAGGTCCCCTTTATAACATATGCTACAGGCCCCGCACTAGCTTAATCCGGCACTGCGCACACCCGTGTTAATAGTTAACGGTAGACAGACACCGAGTGGAGTCATA